TGGGAGAAGATGCTACAACCGGTCCGTTCCATTTAATTAATTTGGGGAGTTTGTATACAAAATAATCATGTATCTATCAGAGTCTATCATCATACATGTCTCTTTTTCCGTCAGATCAGATCAGGCATCCTGTCAAAAAGAAATGGCTAGAGGCTCTGCAGAAGTATCATAGTTCCCAAGTTCTCGTGGCGAAACAAACAACTTCTGCACTAGATATGTTGGCACAGATCATCTCTATCTTCAATTTGTTTTGTCCCAACAAAGGTTATATGTTCAGCTCCAGACATTCCCAAACAATAGAAGTTGAGGATCCAAGAGCCGTGAGTGTGTTGAATCACCCAGAGTCTCTGTTGATTCCGGAAACTACAAACTTCCAATCGGCTTTTTCTAAAAATGAAGTATGCAGGATGTCCCAACCGATGGGTCTTCTAGATTTTTTTTTGTGGTTCGCATGAGGCTTATGTCGGAACCTATATTTCTATATATTTCTGGTTCCATCCAAAGCCTCAAATCCTTTCACTGCAGTCACGTCGCCAAGCCCCTCATCGAACGAGAGTTTGCCATCGCTGTCGTTTTGCGCGCCCTAAAAATTGAAGTAAAAAAGCTGCGAACGGATCGGAGATGATCGGAATCTGGGACCCTCCTGACCCTGCCATAAGAGCGGGCTTCCAAGTGTGCTGCACTCACCACACAACCACGCGAACCCAAACGCACTTTTCGTCGCGGTGGCTGCGCGGTTCGTTTGAGCTTTGGCACTGTGGAGACGTGTAGGGTGTAAGCCAATATTGCTCTTTTACAAGCAAGTTTTGATGTAAATCCAGGCTGATTTGAGCATGAGAAAGATACATGCGCAATAACCAAACACAAATCGATGTTGTGTAAAGAAAAAACTCTGACTTTCTGGAAAGTCTACTAATGACCTTGGAGAAATGGAAAATAGCTAGCTCCAAGCTGAAAAGGTTCAGCAGCTTCACTTCTCTGTAAGCTGCTGACGACTACTATTGATACACTTTCTGAGAGTCCCACTCACTTCCACCAAGGGTCAAGGCCGGTGCGGAAGTCCTGCTCAGTCCATGGGCTCAAGGCCAACTTGCCCTCAATGGTGGTGGTGTGAGCCAAGGCCAAGGACAGTGGGGCAGGGCCACGCACCACCTTGCCGTTCTCGTCGTACTGGGAGCCATGGCAAGGGCAGCAAAACTTGTTGGCGGCCTTGTTCCATGGAACGACGCAACCAAGGTGAGTGCACACGGACAGGAGAGCGAAGTCCTTGATGTTGTCCGGGGTGGAGATCAGGTAGAAGGGCTCGCCCTTCAATCCCTGCACCAGCTCACGGTCGTTGTCCTTATGGCCCTTCACCCAGGCCTCCAGGGTCACGGGATTGCCATCGACATCTCCCGCAAGTTGCGCACCACCGCCACCACCTGCCACAGGAGGCACGAAGTACCAGAGGTAGCAACCCAAAGCCACCAAGACGGGGATGCCGGCGGTGGTCACCAGGACGAAGTTCATCAGCTGTCGGCGCCTTATGTGTGACTCGAAGCTCTGAAGTAGAACAACAATGAGACCCAAGGCCCTACAAACACACATGACATCAAACCGGAAGGGTCAACCACAAAAAAGTTGGGGAGATACAGGGTCTTCCCAATGATGTATATCTCTCTGGGTATGTGTGATTCCGGGCATCCAGATATTCTTGATGAAAAAAGGCAGTCTTCCTTTTGATAGTCTCGTACCAAGGATGATGTCCCTCATTTCTTCCCCGGATCTATTGGGTGTTTCTTCAGCAAGGCACTGCATGTCTGGCACGAAGCCTGTGTACTCCCCGGCCGCACGAAGGGAAGTGTTCAACTCGCGGGAGGTGTTCGACACCTGGAATCAGCATGGCATAGCATGGCTATGTTTGACAGCTTAGAAAATAGGCTAAGTAGCAATCAAGATGGGGCACCGCCTTGTTTGTCAGGTACATTATTATTCCACACGTTGGTTAAAGTCCCTATGAATCCCTGGATAAACAGTCCACTGGCTGCTGGGAAAACTGATCAGGGTCAAAAAAACTGCTATCATCATCTCCAGGACAAAACTTTGGCTACACCTGCCTGACTGGTCTGGTTCTGAATGATTGGAATTCATGGATGAGTTCCCACACAAGCATTTACAGTTAGTTCATGTAGAATTGTTACCGCGAAGAGCAGTATGTTTCTATGTGTTTCTTATCATTCCTGTGATGATTGGAGTCATGATTGGTCATGAACTTACTATTCATATTCACATTCTGTTGTTCTGACTGCCACATTCGGTGAAATCACCCTGTTTTCCTCGGCCTGTGGAGCCACAAAGGTGTAGCTTAGGCCGCAAATAGCTAGGGTCACCAGCAGGGCCTGAAGCAAAGATTTTTACATGGGGTTTAAGTGGATTTAATGAGATTCAATGGGTTTGGATTTAATGATATTTTACTGGGATTTAAGTGGGATTTAAGTGGATTGAATAGAATATAAATAGGATATGAGTGGGATTTCATGGAGGGTGTATGAAGGGATCCACTTGAATATCAATCTTATTTAAGGATGTTGATGGAATATAAAGTGGCTTTCAGGTATTTAGTTATAATAGGATATTGATCGAAGGAAGTTTGGAAGTCAAACTTCCGACAATATGGGCAGATGAAAAGCAGAGATGGGAAGAGTCAGAGAGAAGAGAAGAGTAGAAGAGAGAAGATCAGAGAAGAGAAAGAATCAGAAGAAAGAAGATGCAGATGCGCGAAAAGGTAGGAAAGTTGCGAAACACTGTGTTTTTCCAATGATTTGTGGCTCCGGGGGGTCCAAAAGTAGGCTCGCTAAAGCGACGGGTGCGGAGCCATCTGGCCAGATGAGAGATGAAAAATTGCATGCCGTTGTGGCGCAAAGCGCATTTGCACGTGAAAAAGCTAAAAACACCTCACGTTCGGAACACTATTGGAAGTTGAGATGCCGAAAAAGTGCACACCGTTGTGGCGCGAAGCACATTTCGAAATCAACATGTACCAAAAAACACACCATGCTCGGACCACTGTTGGAAGTTGAGATGTCGAAAAAGTGCACGCCGTTGTGGCGCGAAGCACATTCCCAAGTCAAAATGTACAAAACACACCAGGTTCGGAGCACTTTTGGAAGTTGAGATGTCGAAAAAGTGCACGCCGTTGTGGCGCACATTTCCAAGTCAAAATGTACAAAACACACCAGGTTCGGAGCACTTTTGGAAGTTGAGATGTCGAAAAAGTGCACGCCGTTGTGGCGCGAAGCACATTTCCAAGTCAAAATATACAAAACACCGCATGTTCGCGCCACTTTTGGAAGTTCAGATGTGCTTTCGCGTGGCAGGCGCAAGGGATTGTGCACCTTCTCAAAAGTGAGCAAAACGTGAGGGTTTTGTGGCATTTCCAAAAACGATGGCAGGCTTGGGAAGTTTGAGGAGGATCTGCAAAGATGCATTTTCCGTGGCATGCGCAGTACAAGAGACATCTTCATCAGAGCTGTTAGGAGGTCCGGGCGGTGATTTCCTGAGAGGGGTTGCATTTTGGAGCATCAGATCTTCAGGTTTGCTGAGATAATTTTGCGTGACAGGTGCAAGCACTTCGTATGACCTGGCATCACTTTTTCGTGGCAGGCGCAGTATTTTAGACAGATGGACTGGAAAAATCGCAAAACGCATTGGTACGAGGCCGTCAGCTCTGCACGCAACTTTCTATTTTTGCAGGAAGTCTCGCAGAATTCTTTCGTTTTTGGTGTTGTCAACTTCGAAAAATGAGGAAGTCTCGCAGAATTGCTTCGTTTTTGACGTTGTCAAGTTGAAATATTGTGGAAGTCTCCCAGGATTGCTTCGGTTTTGACGTTGTCAAGTTCAAACATGTAGGAAGTCTCGTGCGTTTTTGATGTTGTCAAGTTCAAAACCTGAGGACGTCTCGCAGAATAGCTTCGTTTTCAAGCTTGCAGATAGACAGGTAGATAGACAGACAGACAGACAGAGAGATAGATAGATCGATCGATAGATAGGTAGATAGGTAGATAGGTAGATAGGTAGATAGGTAGATAGGTAGGTAGGTAGGTAAATAGATAGATAGATAGATAAATAGATAGATAGATAGATACATAGTTAGATAGACAGATGAGATAGATGAGATAGATGAGATAGATGAGATAGATGAGATAGATGAGATAGATAGATAGATAGATAGATAGATAGATTGATTGATAGATAGATAGATAGATAGATCGAATAGATGGATGGATGGATGGATGGATGGATAGATAGATGGATAGACAGACAGCTAGATAGCTAGATAGATAGATTGATAGATAGATTGAATAGATTGAATAGATTGAATAGATAGATGGATAGATAGATGGATAGATAGATCGAATAGATGGATGGATGGATGGATGGATAGATAGATGGATAGATAGACAGCTAGATAGCTAGATAGATTGATTGATTGATAGACAGCTAGATAGATTGATTGATAGATAGATAGATAGGTAGAAAGAAAGAAAGATAGATAGATAGATATAGATGGGTAGATAGGTAGATATAGATGGGTAGGTAGATAGATATAGATGGGTAGATAGGTAGATATAGATGGGTAGATAGATAGATAGATAGGTAGATAGATAGATAGGTAGATAGATAGAGATAGATAGATAGATAGATAGATGGATAGATAGACAGCTAGATAGATAGATAGATAGACAGCTAGATCGATCGATAGATAGATAGATAGATTGATTGATAGATAGATTGATTGATAGATAGATTGATTGATTGATGGATAGATAGATCGGTAGGTAGGTAGGTGGGTAGGTGGGTAGGTGGGTAGGTGAGTAGGTGGGTAGGTGGGTAGGTGGGTAGGTGGGTAGGTGGGTAGGTGGGTAGGTAGGTAGGTAGGTAGGTAATCAGAGAAAGAGAGAAAAGAGAGAAAAAAGAGAGAAAAGAGAGAAAAGAGAGAAAAGAGAGAGAAAGAGAGAGAAAGAGAGAGAAAGAGAGAGAAAGAGAGAGAAAGAGAGGAGACATCAATCACCTTTCGATCCATCAGTGGCTTCGCTCTGCCATCCGTGATTCACAACAACCAACCTCTCCTATAGGTTTCCTATTTTTGAATCTTCCGCCACCGCCTTGTGCGGTTCTACTGGTATTAATGGGGGAATATGAATGTGAATGGGATTGAATGGAAAATAAATGGGATTTAAGGGGATAGTCGGATATCTAATCAACAAATTTGGCCGGGGATAATCGGATAGTGCTCAGATACCAGCACCCGATACACCCGATCGTTACAGAGGACCACAAGTATCTCATATTTGGGTTTGTTTGAAAATGGGGTAGACCTCCCAATCAAAATGCCCATGAAAAAGCCTGGGGAAATGATTTTCAAATCCATATGGGATTTCAGACCCAAATGAGTGACTTTTTTGCCATGAAAATGGGAAGTTCATACAAAAACTCGAATTTTGCTATGAAACTAGAGCACTCGAGTACAAGAATGAATTCTCGACTGACAAATGAAGATTTGGCAGACCCACACCCATATTTCATGAGCAAAAAATGGCATTGTTGCCATTGAACATATTATGATCTCACCGCCAAAACTAGAGAAGAATACTAGAGTTACTAGAGTTACTAGAGATTTCCCCCCGCTTTCTCCGCCCAATTCTGTCAAGTCACAAGACCCCGCATCTCCCTGGTAGACTTCGCCATCGCAGGGACACAAGGACGGAAGAACGTGAACGTTCCGTCGGCCCGGTGGATCTGTCTCTGGCCCACGTCACGGTCCACGTTGGTCGCCGCAGTCTGGTTTGAATTGTGCAATTTTGGATGATCTACCTCCAAATCATCCATTTTAATAGGACTTTTGATTCGAAACCATCTATTTTGGGGAACCCCCCGCCATTTATGGAAACCCCCAAATAGCAAATTAATCATTATATATCATTATGATGGCTCGTCTCAACTGATTCACGAGGGGCACCTTCATGAAAAGCTATCCCAACCTGATCATGGAAAACTACAAACTTGCAGTACTGCAGTACTGCAGTCATTTTGCAAGCAGGTTCATGGTTGGCCTCTTAGCCCGTCCCCTTCTCCTAGCCCCGATATTCAAAATTCAAGGTGGTAGCGAGCACCACCAGTTGGGCAACCCTTTCCACTCAGACCAGCTGGGATACCAGCCACACTACCCACGTCATTTTCTGCGTTGCGAAAGTGGTCCCGATTCCAGCAGGAATGTGCCAGGGCGGGTTTCCACCATCCTGGAAAAATCGGAGATTCTTGGGCCCACCTGGCATTCCCCCGGCATCGCGGCCTGCGATTGCACGAGTTCAAAAAGGTGGGTGGCAAATCTCCACACAGGTGCGACCCCATAAGCTGCCGGAAGGCACTGTGAAACTTCCCAATCTGATGTGTAAATGAGCTCACTTCCACCAAGGGTCAAGGCCGGTGCGGAAGTCCTGCTCAGTCCATGGGCTCAAGGCCAACTTGCCCTCAATGGTGGTGGTGTGAGCCAAGGCCAAGGACAGTGGGGCAGGGCCACGCACCACCTTGCCGTTCTCGTCGTACTGGGAGCCATGGCAAGGGCAGCAGAACTTGTTGGCGGCCTTGTTCCATGGAACGACGCAACCAAGGTGAGTGCACACGGACAGGAGAGCGAAGTCCTTGATGTTGTCCGGGGTGGAGATCAGGTAGAAGGGCTCGCCCTTCAATCCCTGCACCAGCTCACGGTCGTTGTCCTTATGGCCCTTCACCCAGGCCTCCAGGGTCACGGGATTGCCATCGACATCTCCCGCAAGCTGCGCACCACCGCCACCACCTGCCACGGGAGGCACGAAGTACCAGAGGTAGCAGCCCAAAGCGACCAAGACGGGGATGCCGGCGGTGGTCACCAGGACGAAGTTCATCAGCTGTCGGCGCCTTATGTGTGACATCATCCCAGTAAGTCCAGCTGATGCTCAGCTCACACGGGCCCGCTTTTTGAACGCAATCATAAAATAAAATTATGTACACAAAATGATATAATAGAATAGAATATATAGTTATAATATAACTAATAAAACATAACATGTTTTAATATGATGTAATATAACATAATTGAAGTATACATACATACATAATATATATATATATTATATACATACTGTATATATATATTATATATATATATATTATATATATATTATATATATATTATATATATATACTGTGTATGTACAGTGTGTAAGTACATGTGTATATATAATTATATATATATATGTATATTATGCAGTGTAAATATACATATGCACATGAGTTTTCCTATCAATCCCCTTACCAGATAAGGCCAGCCCAGTGGCTGCATGTCCGGCACGAAGCCCGTGTACTCCCCAGCCGCGCGCATGGTGCTGAGCTCACCCCGCTGGGGTCCGCTGGGCGCCTGAGAGCTGGGATGGTGGATCCCAGGTGTCACCCAAAAATATGGTACTTGGGAACTCACTGAAG